AGGGTGACAGTGGTTAGGGTTAGGGTGACAGTGGTTAGGGTTAAGATCGTGAGGGTTAGGATGGTGAGGGTGACAGTGGTTAGGGTTAAGATCGTGAGGGTGACAGTGGTTAGGGTTAAGATCGTGAGGGTTAGGATGGTAAGGGTGACAGTGGTTAGGGTTAGGATGACAGTGGTTATGGTTAAGATCGTGAGGGTGACAGTGGTTAGGGTTAAGATCGTGAGGGTTAGGATGATGAGGGTGACAGTGGTTAGGGTTAGGATGGAGAGGGTGACAGTGGTTAGAGTTAGAACTGAACAAGTACCTATCTTGTGTTTGCAGGACGCTGGCCTAACCAAAGACTATGGTAGCTCGCCGCTGCATCGCTTCAAGAAACCAGGGTCCAAGAATTACCAGAATATCTTTGCGCCATCCGTTACCTTGCATCTGTCCAACATTCCGTAAGTGCTGCGGTGGCTATCTGGCTATAGTCTGTCGCTCTCCCCCTGTCTGTCTCTCTCTCTCACGTGACTCGAACATAGCCGATAGCAAGCAATTAATGTCAGGATCATAATATCAAATCGTCCAGTTTTTTGGATTTTTAACTAGTTGAGAAACAATCTTATCAGGTAAGAATTTGACAATACATTTAGTCCTATTAGTACTTACTTTTAGTGTAAAAAAATGGCAACAAAATTTTTACATATATACACAATAGAAAATTTGTGACGTAGTCAATTTAATTCGAAGCCTGAACTGTCTGTTGTCGTTGCTTGATGCTGATGCTGTTTCTGCTGCTGCTCTTTTAGACCCAACATCACAGAAGAGGAAATTTGTGAAGCTTTCTCTGATAAGTCAGGTGGGACCGTGAAGGCCTTCAAGTTTTTCCCGTGAGTACGAACAGGCAGCGGAAAACTTCCGGACAGTGTCTAATATAGCTTGACTGTTTATATAGTTTTTATATAGTTTTTTATAATATGTATATTTATTTTATTTTTATTTATATATTATATATTTATTGTAGTTTAATATAGCGAAACTTGAGATAATAAATGGATGGATGGATAGATAGATATATTTTTGGGTATTTTTCATTCAACCAAGTGGTCACCAACTGAGCGCTTTATTTCCCGGGCAACGCCGGGTGTCCTGCTAGTAGTTTAATATAGCAAAACTTGGGTTGTTGTCTTTGTAGTTGTTTTATCTCTGGCTGGCAGTGCCTGTAAACTACGTTGCTGCTGATTTAACTAACGCAATGCTGTGTTGTCTGTCGTCTTGCAGGAAGGACCGTAAGATGGCATTGATTCAGATGGGAAGCTTGGATGAGGCAGTTAGTGCCCTTATTGTAAGTGTTAGGTGTCAGGGTTCAGTTATTGTGTGTTGTCTCTCTACCTATCCTTACCTCTCTACCTATCCTTACCTCTCTACCTCTCCATACCTGTCTACCTCTACCTCTCCCCCTCCCTCTCTCTCTTTACCTTTTCCCCCTCTATCTCTCCCTACCTCTCTGCCTCCCCCCTCTTTTTACCTTTTCTCTATCTCTCCCTACCTCTTTCCCTCCCTTTCTCTCTCTCTCTCTCTCTGTACCTTTCTCTCTCTCTATCATCACCCGTTATTCTCAAACCCCTAACCGACCTCACCCTACTCGTCACCCTTTATTCCCAAACCCTCGCCCCACCTCACCCCACTTGTCACCCGTTATTCCCAAACCCCTACCCGACCTCACCCTACTTATCACACGTTATTCCCAAACCCATGCCCAACCTCACCCCACTCGTCACTCGTTATTCCCAAACCCCCGCCCAATCTCTCCCCCCTCTTCTCCATCCATTCTCTCCGGCTCCTCTCTTACTACCCCTGCATCCACCCTATATCCTTACCTGATCTGTCATCTCTATCCATCCCTCACCCACTTCTCCCCCTCTTCTCCGTCCACTCTCTCCTGCTCCTCCATCCGTTGCCCTCCCTCTCCCGCTTGCAGACCGGGATACAGCCTCTGTTGGGACGGCCCTGCACGCTTTGTCTCTTGTGAGCTGTCAGTGCCGTCAACTCTATGTCCGGCAATTAGATCGCTGCTGACGGTGCTGCCACCTGTCTGTCTATCTGTGTCCAGCATTTATGTGATACTTTTATGCTCGCTCTTTTATATGATGTATATATGTAGACAAATATATGTGTGATTATATTTGTGCGTACGTATGTACGTATATGTGTACATATATACATGCATATATAGTGCCGGCTTGCTGTTTACATTTAGATTTGATATGATTTGTTGATCATAACGTTTGTAAAATCCTGCATTTAACGTGGAAAGGCGGAGGGGGAGTGAGAGGTTGCCATGACGCTGGGTGCGAGGGGGTTGCCGTGACGATCAGGTGGGACAGGGTTGCCATGATGCTGGGTGGAGGAAGGTTGCCACGATACTTAGTGGAAAAGGAGTTGCTATGAAGCTGTGCAGGGGTTCAGTTGCCACGAAAGTGAGTGGGAGATAGTTGCTATATATGACCCTGGGTGGGAGAGGGTAGCCATTACAACGGGCGGGAAAAAAATTTATGGTGATGATGTATAGCAGAAATTTACTGTTATTCCGGTTAGGGAACGCTTGCCTTGGTGACGGCTCTGGGTAAGTGTTGCCATGACAACAGATGGGAGATGGTTGCCACAATTCCTCATGAGATAAGGGCACTAACAAAGCATATATCTGCAGTGTAGTAGTGAACCCACATCTGTACCAGAGTCTACCACAGAGGACTCGGTGTCTAGTAGCACCCTCACACTTGGCAACGTCCTGTGGCGGCCCCGCCCACCCGCATCTGTAGGCAGCGCGCCCCCCACCGCGTCTAGGCAATGTTGTGTGGCGCCCCCACCCGACGTACCTCGGTGGCACCCCCTCCGTTCCGCGTGTGTGAAGACGCTGCGCTAATGACACTGTTGATTTTTCACTGATGGTGATTTTAACTTTTCTTTCCCGATGTGACCGCGCTCTGCTGGTGTCTCTCCTCACGGATGTATCTTTATTCGTTCGTTCGGAACCTTCATCCTTCTTACGCTCTGCTACTCTCTCTAGATGGTCACGCCAGATGCTCTCTTTACCCTTTTTGGTATGTTTACAAGCACTTGTTTCATTTGTATTTATTTTTCTCGTATTTCTAGTTAAGCTTGTGCACTAGTGTTAAAAGTTGTCACTGTAGTGTTAACCGTGCATGCCCGATATACTGAATGCGTTCGCTCGCCGCAGATCGGCGAGATTCTTTTTAGAGAAAGTATCGTAAACGCCTTTTATCGTGAATATTAACTTTCATCCGTGAAACTTTCGTCGTTTCGTCGTGACTCTCTCGATTTTCTCGTAGCATAACAATTTACTTTTACGCGTGCGTGTGACTGCTTGAGTGGATGTGTCTGTGAGAATGAGCGCTCATTGTGTTCAGAACGTGCGTATTTAGCTTAGTTGTGGTTGAATCTATGATGTGTCAGATATCCTTCATGTCATTAGGCCTTTATAAGATGGGAACTATCAGTGGCTATGTGTAACATACCAGATAACGTCTAGCTGCAGCTATGCATACATCGTGTGCTGCCATCGCTACGGGTGCAAGCTTTCTCTTGCTCTATCAGCTACCTACTTACCCTTCTAACATGCTGACACGTTGCTATGGTAACATCTGTCCAAGCTTCCGTTAGGTGCAGCGGGAGGGGGGTGGGGGTTAGAAGTCTAGGGTGCTGTGTGAGAAGCCGTGACGTCGTGTTGCTAGCGGCGTGGACCAAAATATTTGTCGCCGTAGTGAAGAAATGAAAGAGTTTAGACTTGTGTGGTGCGATGTCAACGTAAAATGCGAGGTGTGGTGTCGTGATAAAATGTGTGGTGTGGTGAAGTGTGTGGTGTGATATTGTTATTATTTTAATAAAACGCGAGCTGTGATGTCATAATGATATATGTATGTATTCAGTAATAATGTGTGTTATGATTTTAATGGAGAAACATAACAATACTATGTGTGTGCGTGCGTGTGCGTGCATGTGTGTGAGTGTGCGTATGTATGGGCCCGTGTGAGTCTGCACTCATTCATGTGTGTATTACTACATAATGTTGATTAAGTAGGGTTATACAGGGATGCAGAGCATGTGTGTGGTTAAATGTCGCAGGCATATACGAAAATGTACAGCGTATATGCTACTGTTTCACTGTTTGTAAGGGGCTTATATGTCGACATACATCGTGTGTGTGTGTGCTAATGTTGTTTCGCTGTATGTCACAGGCGTATATGGGGATGTACAGCGGGTAAAGATTCTGTTCAACAAGAAGGACAATGCATTGATACAGATGGCTGATGCACAGCAAGCCCAGTTAGGTAAGTCTCTCTCTCTCTCTCTCTCTCTCTCACTCTCACTCTCACTCTCACTCTCACTCTCACTCTCACTCTCACTCTCTCTCCCTCCCTCCCCTCTCTCCCTCTACCTTTCTCCCTCCGTCCGTCCCTTCCTTCCTCCCTCCTCTCTTTCCCTCCCTCCCTCCCTCTCTCCCTCCGTCCCTCCCTCCCTCTCTTTCCCTCTCTCCCCGCATAGACACAGAAAACCCAGCTAGGAATATTATATTATCCTCCATTGAGCTATGGGCAGACTGAATGACAAATCATTAAATAAGTTTATTCAGTTGTTAGACTAATATATATAACAGGATTAATTGTTACTCAACCGTGAAAGATTTGGAAACGTACCGCTTACGTTTCGCATCCTGGCAGGAGGCGAAACGTAAGCGGTACGTTTTCAATCTTCACGGTTGAGTAACAATTAACCCTGTTATATATGAATGACAAATGTTTGCCAGGTTGCATTTATTTGTCTTTGTTCGCTGTTTTGTCCGGTCCATGGCTGGCTCGACGTGACGATGTGGCGATATCATGCATGGTTCGCATAGTCCTTGAAAAGTCCTTGAATTTGAGGGGAGTCCGTCCTTGAAAAGTACTTGAATTTAGTAAATGTTGATTTTGTGCTTGAAAAGTGCTTGAATTTCATGAAAATGTCTTGAATTTTTAGAAAGAATCTTTGCCTGTAATAAAAAGAAATTTTGTACCATCAATAATATGCAAACCTCAATAAAAATTGCGTTAAATGAGCTTAAAAAGCTATAGACACGATAGACAGTTAAATGATGATCATAAATTACAGTAAGTCAGTAAAATCAGTCAGTAAATCAAGGTATGTTGTAGAAGTGACAGTGTTTAGAAGGGTTTATTAATGTGATCCAGGTAAGTTTTAGAGGTGACATGCAGTGATTAAGAATGGGGTTATTAATTTAATCCAGGTATGTTTTGTTCTGTGTATGAATTCCGATAAAATGTCTGATAAAATGTCCTTGAATTTCCGATAAAATGTCCTTGAAAAGTCCTTGAAATATCCTTGGAAAAAATTTCAGTCCTCCTGTACGAACCATGTCATGTCCTCGACGTGACGATGTCATCGTCTCTGTTGCAGCGCTGGCACACCTTGACAAGCTGAAGCTATACGGAAAGGTGATCCGTGTCGCAGCCTCCAAGCACCAGGCAGTACAGATGCCTAAGGAAGGTCAACCGGTACGTAGCTAATACATGGTGAGGGTGGCAGTGGTTAGGATTAAGATGGTGAGAGTGACAGTGGTTAGGGTTAGGATGGTGAGGGTGGCAGTGGTTAGGGTTAGGATGGTGAGGGTGGCAGTGGTTAGGATTAAGATGGTGAGAGTGACAGTGGTTAGGGTTAGGATGGTGAGGGTGGCAGTGGTTAGGATTAAGATGGTGAGGGTGACAGTGGTTAGGGTTAAGATGGTGAGGGTGGCAGTGGTTAGGATTAAGATGGTGAGAGTGACAGTGGTTAGGGTTAGGATGACAGTGGTTAGGGTTAGGATGGTGAGGGTGGCAGTGGTTAGGATTAAGATGGTGAGAGTGACAGTGGTTAGGGTTAGGATGGTGAGGGTGGCAGTTGTTAGGGTTAGGATGGTGAGAGTGACAGTGGTTAGGGTTAGGATGGTGAGGGTGGCAGTTGTTAGGGTTAGGATGGTGAGGGTGACAGTGGTTAGGGTTAGGATGGTGAGGGTGGCAGTGGTTAGGATTAGGATGGTGAGGGTGGC